GTCCTCTCCAACCACAGGGATTCTATGGGGTGTAACTCAATTGTTTTCCTGCTTAGGTTCATAACCTATTTGTAGTTGCATGTATTTATCTCTGGATATTAAAAATCCTTACAAAATTTCACCTGCAACACTGCTTTGCTGACTCAGGATATAACCATCTTAAAAACCATGAAAAACTTCCTCTTTAGTGGACTACATTCAGAAAGCATAAAGACTGCATGAAGAGCCTGACAGCCACATATTCACAGACCCAGCAGCATATTTGCATTTTTCACTCCGTGTTGAAGCTTCTGCAAGTCTATTAGAGCAACCAATAACAAGTGTCTTCCAATTCATGTTAGAGCTATCTAACTTCCTGAAACATGGTAATAAAATACTTCTGACAGTAGCAGCAGGTCCATGGCCAGGCGTTTTACAAGTCATAAAGGTTCAAAATACAAACTAAAATTGCTGAACCATTTACTCTTTTAGAGTGCCCAGAAAAGGAATTTTTGCCATTTTTTTCTTTTACTTTCTATGTTCCCTGTTGTATAACACACTGAAACGCTACTCATATTGCAACTGGAAAAGTGATAGAAAACTATACAGGGTATGCCTATAAGACACCAAGATTATATATTAATGGGCCTTCTAAAGATGGCACATACTAATATAAATGTGATTGCAAATTAGAAACATGGAGAGTGGAATTTTTAAACAAAGTAAGTGGTCCAACTTCCTACTACAAGTTTTGTGAGAGTACCTTATGTTTAGGAAAGTTATATAGTATCAGTATTTGTTACCGTGCCACCCTAACACTTTCCACAGCATATGTATGAGCAACTGAAACACCAATACCAAAACCACATAAAAATCCAACTTCTATTTCATTGCCGGGTTTATATTTCAAAAGTAGTTTTACTCATTTGATCTTAGAAGTTGCCACTATGTGTCTGCAGTCAAAATATTAAACTTGGGATTATACGAAGCCTCTCACCTCTGTAAAGTCTGACACAAAAAAGGATGTTGTTCCATCATATTCCATGAAGTGCTTTGGAAACAATTTAATCCAAGTATCATCACCGTAAAATATTATCCTTTTCCCAGCTGCTTTTGCCTGCCATATCAGGTTGTCATCCAACAGAGCTGGAGAATTGAGGTTCACAACAACATCAATGAAACCAGGTATGCTACCTGTCATCAAAGCCTACATAAAACAAGAAAAGAGACATATGAACAGAAACAAAAAAGCTTTCAGTACTCAAAAGACAGTATTAGTTAAAGAAAGCAGAGAAATTTTACTTTCAATAAAGAAACAGAATTAAGTAGAAGAACACATGAGCTGCCATGCCACGCCACAACACTGTGGTAGTTGATGTCAGAGATAATAACTCTTTTACAGAAAGGTAACACGAATATATCCTTAATCAGTGGACATCCGAATGACTTTGCATTGCAGTAGAAATGTGTTTTATTTACTGGTCATTAAATCATCAAAAAGATAGTTTAGAAGGACTAAGTAAACTGACTTAATAATAACAGTGGTATCACACTCAAAACAGCAGTTACCCATCATCTGGAAAATGTAATGAAGTCCACCTACCAAGAGTTACCAGACTGCCTCACTCTCACTGGCTGCCTAGCTGACCTACTAAATCTCACTCTCTCAGCTTCCTCAGCACAAGACACGTCTCTGAGACCTACCATTGAGAAGCCTGGATGATTAAGTATCTTGACGACACAGCCACAATTTCTTTTAGTTACCTAGAACTTGGCACAAATTCTCTTTTTAAGCTCTGCAAAAGCCCTAAGTGGAAAAAAAAACCACCTACCTTAATTCGAGGCATGGTCACAGTGGGTGGCTTCGCTTCAGCAATGAAACTATAGGACGTCCCTTTTTCCACAACTTGTGTAATATACGGCATGAACTGTTTACCTTTGGTTCCAAACACAAAGTCCTCTCTCAAAGCATCTATCAGCACAATGACAACTTTTTTGAAAAGCGGAGGTGGAATTTTGGTCCAGTTAGAAACCATTCCTAAACAAAACAAAAAAACGGGTATTTGAAAGTCATCAAGCTTTAACAATGGCTACGTAGAAGTTAAAGGACAACTTCACCACAGAAATTAGTGCTTCCAACTTCCTTATTAACTTTACATTCAGAAGCAAGAATTTGCAAACAACAGCAAACTTCAGAAGTAATTGGAGGAGGCTGAGTTTTTAGGCCATCCAGCAAAGGAATGACATAAAACACCAAAGAAAACCAGTACAGCATCTAGTAAGGAAAACAAAATGTGAATGGAAGGCACGGTGTGAAACTGAGAGAAAGGAATAAGAAGGGACAGCTGCCACCTTCTCTCTGGCTAATCGAGTCAAGCTGTACTACACATATCCAACTGACAACTTCTGCGAGATAAAAGACACAGCATTCACCAATGCTAACATCTAATTTTGTACATCACATCTGAAGTAAAACCTCTCCATCAAATCCCACCATAAAAGAACAGGCAAATCACAAAGAAATATGCAGTTTCACTGAAATATGAAGGCAAAAGATTTATGTATGCTTGGGCCCTTCAGGATAGGTGACAGTATGTGAGGGTAGTTGGGTAACAGCACCCTGTAGCTGCTACCAAAATCCAGCTTCAGAATCCCCTGAACGTGCTGTGTGGGTGGGCACAGCAAATGCTGATGTGCATCAGGAGTGGTCAGTGTCACACCTTTGAGCCCACCTCTTTCTCTTTTATGATTTAATGCTGGCCAGAGCAACTCCTTCTTTGCACTGAGCTCGGTCCACGGAGTGACATTTAGCTTCTACAGCAGCAGCTTTTGGCCCAACCTCTACAGGTGTTATATCTCTACCGAGGAAAAACATAGAAGGACAAAACGGAAGAAGGATCCTACCCACAGATCTCTACTCAGACAATATTGTGGTGAACCAGCTTCTCAGCATATGCATTACACAAAGTTACAGTTTTTACACTCCTTTAGAGAAAAACGTGTCTCAGAAAAAATGGTCTGGCAATTGGGAAAAGTCACAGATAATGTTGTGTCCAACAAAAGGACCTCAAAAAATACCCTCAGAAACTATATCTTTGGGTATACAGATAAGCATCAATAAACTGACTTTCACAGACTGCTAGTAATTTTTCCAGAGGAGAAAACTGGGGTGGGGGGAACAGCAAAGGGAATCTCAACAAGAACAAAATTCTAACTGGCCTCAACCCTGATTAAAATGATAATGCTATTTTACCAGGACCTTATTCATCAACTTAGCAGACATGCTTCGGCTCTGAATGAAAAACAAGAAGGCACAACTTGATGCACTGTGCTGTTTGTTAGTTTAATTTTCCTCATAAGTTACTCCTATCTACTTGCTTAGGAAAACAAAACCTGCTGGGCGTTAAAAAAAATATTCATATCACAAACACATACACCCTAATCACAGCTCCCTCCAACACTCTTATTCACCAGTGAAGTCAAAGTATTGAGAAGTGCAAAGGAATTAGGAGTCAGTCGATTACAAGCCTGAAAATACTTATTATAAGACAGCTAAAGCAACACATTGTGCAATTCCTGGCACACAGTACGCTTATTTATCCCTGCCATGGTTCCTTAGAAAAACAGTTCCTTTAAATGCGGCTTAACTTCTGTAAGCAGTGAAGAAAACCATAGGTACTACTAAAAACTTATCACAACCATATGCTCCACTGATTCAGTCTTACAGAAGCAACTACACCGTTTTATCAGTCATCCCACAGGCAAGACAGCACAGATCCCACAGCAGTCAGGGCTCACAAAGCAAAACGCTCAGGAAATACAGAAGCTCTGAAAAAATAATATTTTCTGAACAGATCTACTGTAGGCTGAAAGCCTTCTGTATTGTGGTTCAGTTAGCAATCCCCTGCCTTTAGGTCTTATCTTCCAGACCAAGAGATGACTCTGCAAGCAAATTATAACCCAGGAACTACAGAAAGGAAGTACTCTTCCACTGTCACTCCATTTTTGCCTACTTATATCTAGAATTACTAGTGACACGTCTAAATTTAAACCGTTTGCAGAGCCCCGTGGTACAAATTTATATTCGTTAACGTAAAGCAGTAGTCTGACACTCCATTCTCACCCAAACAGTCTCCTGCCAATAACCACACGTGAGTGCAACGTTTCGCTCACGGCAGCCTTCCCACAACCTC